TTTATTGACTATGAAAAGGCATCCGACTGTGTGGGTCTTAATAGATTATGGCTAACACTGAGAAGAATAGATATTCAAAAACACTAAATTGGGTGCATGTGGAACCCGTACATAGATCAAAAGGTGTCATTTGAACAAAATAAGGGAATATTATATAGTTTAAAATCAGAAGAGATGTGTGTCAGGGTTGTAGCCTTTCACTATACAAACCCACTCTATATGCTGAGCAAATAATCCAAGAAGCTGGACTATATGAAGAAGGATGAGATAAGAGAATTGGAGGAAAACTCATTAACAACCTGCAATATGTAGGTGACACAACCTTGCTTAATAAAAGCGAAGAAAACTTGAAGCACTTTGATGATGATGAAAGATTATCACCTTCAGTATGGATTACATAGATAGATAAGATAGAAGTGAGAGAGAGAGAGAGAGAGTGAGAAAGAGAGTGAGAGAGAGTCCAGGTGGGGCTCTGCATGCTAATGCGCTGGACTGCAAGGTCAGTTCGAGCTGCAAGGTCGGTAGTTCAAGCTCACTAGCAGCTCCTCGGAAATCCTATAAAGGGTTGTTATGAATCTGAGCCAACTCCACAACACTTAGCATAGCTACAGACCAAGTAAGGTTGTATAAACTGCATGTTGCAGTTTGTTCATGAATTTTTCTGCAACCCTGATACCACGTTTTTCTTCATTTTCTCAAATTATCTGCTCAGCGCACACATTGAATAAGTATGATGATAGAATATAATCCTGGCACACACCTTTCCTAATTTTAAACCATTCAGTGTTCTTTTGTTCCATTCAAACAACTGCCTCTTGGTCTACGAAAAGGTTCCTCATGAACACAGTTGAGTCTTCCTTCCCTGATGATCATTTTCTGCAGTGCTGTCCATAGCTTGTCATGAGTCACACAATTGAAAGCATTTGCATAGTCAGTAAAGTACAGGTAGGTATCTTTCTGGTATTTTCTGCTTTCAGCCAAGATCTATCTGATATCAACAATGATCTAGTGGGGAAGTCATAGGAATTGAACACATTAAGGAGTTAGTAGATGACTCAGTAAATAATGTCAGAAAGGATGATCCACTGCTTTTGTCTTCAGGGAGAGTGCAGCTGGTTGTGGGAGATGGAAGAATGCGCTATGCTGCTGAAGCTTCGTGTGATGCTATCCATGTAGGAGCCACAGCCCCAGTTGTGCCCCAGGCACTAATAGATCAGTTAAAGCCTGGTGGAAGATTGATATTACCGGCCAGTCCCGCAGGTGGAAACCAAATGTTGGAGCAGTACGACAAGCTACAAGATGGCAGCGCCAAAATGAAGCCTCTGATGGGGGTGATATACGTGCCTTTAACAGATAAAGAAAAGCAGTGGTCCAGGGATGAACTGTAAGAACAACATCATCTTGGCCAGTGCATGTCACAGTGGATTGCTCACATCAGTCCTCAGCTTTTTGAAAACCAACAGCATCACAGCTGGTTTTGGACTCTGTAATACTATTATTTTAAGCTTGAAAATGCGTGGCTTTATAGTGTTTCTAATTCTTTAAGAGGCACAAAGCCAAATAGGTAGAGGAAGGATGCAAAGTATAAATTTGTGTATTGTTACTTCAACATGCCCACATTTTACTTTAAAATATTAAAAGAAGCAGTTCTACAAAATGAAAAACTTAGTTTGTGAATTCTGATTTTGAGGAGTGGTTTTTCTTTTCTTAAATGTTTAACTCTCTTCTGATATTAATTTATCAAGTTGCTTTTGTGCATCTGATAACACTACCATTCACAGTTAAGACTCTTTGTATGTGGTTGTGTCTGGTAGATGCTACTAAGACATGGGCTTCCCTTTCAAAGCTTTGATGTGGTGTCATAGACTAGCACATTGTAGATACAATCAGCCACTTTGTTACCTTAAAACTAAGCATTTGTAGATATTAAAACTTCAGATAGCAGGTGATGTCCTCTCAACCACTTTGCTGTTCTGATTGTACATCTCCGACATAGTTCTTCCTTTCTTTTTTTAAAAATTATAGGAGACTTGTAGCTCAGTATTGTTTCTGTTTCTCACTTGCTGCTGATAATGTATATGAATTTAACATGCTGTGTGAGCTGTGTATTAGTTATGGAACAGTTTATACAGTGCTGCTTTGCCAAATAAAAGTTAAAAGTAAAAAAAGTTCAAAGTTCTCCTCTGAATCTGGCCTGAACCCCTGGAAGTTACTTCTCAATGTACTGCTGAAGTCATTGTTGAATTATATTTAGCAAAATTTTACTTGCGTGTGATATTAATGATAATGTCTGATGATTTCCACATTCTGTTGGGTCACCACTCTTTGGAGTTGGCCCAAATATGTATCTCATCCAATCAAGTGGCTAGGTCACTGTCTTCCAAATTTCTTAGCACAGATAAGTAAGTGCCGCCAGTGCTGCTTCAGTTTTTTGAAAGGTTTCAGTTTGTATTCCATCAATCCCTGGAGCTTTGTTGTTTTGACAATGTCTTCAGTGCACCTTGGACATCTTACTTCAGTATCATTGACTGTTGATCATATACTATCTCTTGAAATGGTTGAACATTGGCAATTTCCTTTTGGTACAGTGACTGTGTATTCCTTCCCTTTTCTTTTTATGTTCTCTCCACAATTCAATATTTGCTCAATAATCCTTCAATATCACAAATTGAGGCATGAATTTTTGTTTCCATTCTTTCAGCTTGAGAAATACTGAGCATGATTTCTCTTTTGGTTTTGTCAAGCTCTTGTACCTCCTCACTTCTTTCATTTGCTTTAGCATCTCTATACTGTAGAGCAAGTTTCTGAGTCTCTTCTAATATTCATTTTGGTCTTTTCCTTCTTTTTTGTCTTCTTAATGACTTTTTGCTTTCTTCTTGAATGATGTTTTTCATGTCATCTACAAGGGATATCATTGCTGATGTCCGGTGGATCTTGGCTGAAAGCAGAGAATATCAGAAAGATGTTTACCTATGCTTTATTGACTACGCAAAGGCTTTCAATTGTGTGGATCATGACAAGCTATGGACAACATTACGAAGTATGAGTATTCCAGAACACTTAATTGTACTTCTGAGGAATCTGTACCTGGACCAAGAAGTAGTTGTTCGAACAGAGCATGGGAACACTTAATGTTTTAAAATTGGGAAAGGTGTGCGACAAGGTTGTGTTCTTTCACTATATTTATTCAGCCTGTATGCTGAGCAAATAATATGAGAATCTGGGTTCTATGAAGAAAAACGTGGCGTCAGGATTGGAGGAAGGCTCATTAATAACCTGCGATATGCAGATGATACAACCTTACTTGCTGAAAGTGAAGATGACTTGAAACGTTTACTGATGAAGATCAAAGAACACAGTCTTCGGTATGGGTTGCATCTCAATGTCAGGAAAACAAAAATCCTCACCACTGGACCAATAAACAACATTCTTATCAATGGAGAAAAGATTGAAGTTGTCAAGGACTTCATTCTTCTTGGATCAACTATCAACACTCGTGGAAGCAGCAGTCAAGAGATCAAAGGACGTATTGCATTGGGCAAATCTGTTGCACAGAATCTTTTTAAAGTGTTGAAGAGCAGAGATGTCACCTTGAGGACTAAGGTGCACCTGACCCAAGCCATGGTATTTTCAATAACCTCATATGAATGCAAAAGCTGGACAGTGAATAAGGAAGATCATAGAAGAATTGATGCCTTTGAGTTGTGGTGTTGGAGGAGAATACTGAAAGTGCCATAGACTGCCAAGAGAACCAATAGATCTGTTTTGGAGGAAGTGTAGCCAGAGTGCTCCTTGGAGGCCAGGATGGCTAAGCTTCGTCTCTCATACTTTGGACATGTTGTCAGGAGGGAACAGTCGCTGGAGAAGGATGTCATGCTGGGTAAGATGGAGGGTCAGAGAGAAAGAGGAAGACCCCCAATGAGATGGATCAGCCAGGAGGCATCATTGATGGCATCAAGTGTGGCAGCGGTAGTGAGGTTGGCCCAGGATTGGACATTGTTTCATTCTGCTGTGCATGGGGTCGCTATGAGTCGGTTCTGACTCGATGGCACCTGACAACAACAACAACAACAAACAACTCTTCTGGTCTTCAGTCATTAGTGTCTAATTCAGTAAATCTGTTCTTGAGCTGGTCTCTCAATTCAGTTGCGATATGTTCAAGTCATGTTTTGTCTTTCATGGACTTGTTTTAATTTTCTTCAGCTTCAGCCTGAATTTGCATATGAGCAAGATAGTCTGTTTTAATCTGTTCTTGGCTTTGTTTTGGCTGATGATATGGAGCTTTTCCACCTTCTCTTTCCACAGATGTAGTCAATATGATTTTTGTATATTCCATCTGGTAAGGTCCATGTGTATAATTTTCTTTTATGTTGTTTAAGAAAGTTATTTGCAATGAAGAAATCATTGGTCTTGTAAAATTCTATCATATCATTTCCAGCATTATTCCTATCATGAAAACCATATTTTCCAATGACTGATCTTTCCTCTTTTTCCAACCTTTATATTCCAATCACCAGTAATTATCAATACATCTTGATGACATGTTCCATCAATTTCAGACTGAATAAGTTGATAGAATTCTTTAAATTCATTATACAACCAAACCAATAAGCAAAATCATAAGTGGAGCAAATATTGAAATTGTCTAAGATTTCATTTTATTTTGGATCCACAATCAATGCCTATGAAATAGTTTTCAAAAGCAATACCTCTTTAAAGTATTCAAAAGCAAAGGTGTCACTTTGAGGACCTACATGTATTATACCCAAGCCATAGTAGTCTCGATCACCTCATATGCATGTGAAAGATGGATGATGAAAAGGAGAGATCCAAGAAGAATTGATGCCTTTGAACTATGGTGTTGGCAAAAAATATGGAATATATTATGATTGCCAGAATAATGAACACATGTTTCTTGGAAGTACCGCTAGAATGCTCCCTGAAATCAAGGATGGTTATGCTTCAACTCACATATATTGGTCATGTTATCAATAGGTATCAGTCTCTGGAGAAGGCCATCATGCTTGGATAATTAAAGGGTCAGAGAAAAAGAGGAAGTCCCTCAAGTAAATGGATGGAAGCAGTGGCTGCAACAATGGGGCTCAAAGAGTGATGATTGTGAGGATGGCCCAGGACGGAGCAATATTCCGCTCTTTTGAGTGAAATGTGTTGGAACCAACTCAACAGCACCTAAAGTTATCCACTAAATGGTCTGGTAGCTTATCAATATTTTAAGTTTCTCTGACTATTTTTGCTGATGTTACTGTTTATGTTGTTAGTCATAACCAAATAACTTGAGGGAATGAATCACTGGGATTGGTTTTAGGACCACAGTTTTGGTGGACATCTGGGTCAATTGGAACAGTATAATCCAAAAGTACAATGCTTTACATTCTGTTTTGGTGAATAGAATTGGGGTCTTTCAAAGCTTGTGACTAGTTATCTAAAACACAACTATTGGTCTCTTCTCATTTGGATTAAAGAAGAGTAAAGAACCTGAAAATCCAAGGTATCAATTAGCACAAAGGACTTATGACCCACATTATCATAAGCTCCACTACTCTGAGAAAGAAAGAACTAGATGATGCCTAGGTCCCACTACCAACAGCTCTCTTCAGTACCACAATATAAGGTCCTGAACAGTGAGGGAGAAAAAAAAAAAGGCAGAACAAAATTCAAAATCGTAAAAAAGACCAGACTTACATGACTAAGAGAATATAGGAACCTCTGACTGTGGCCATTAGACAGTCTTCAAGCCTGGAACTGAGGATCAACTTTCAACCAAACGATACGCAGACTTAAAAATAATAATAAATAATAACCTCAGGAAGAAACGTACTCCTCAGTACAGTCAAGCATATGAGATGAAAGGGCATCAATGAAAGAGTGGGGAAGTAGGAAATAGGGAGGTTGGGGAACAAATGAGAAGAGTGCTGTTACATTGAGGGATTGTAACCAATGTCACTAAACAGAATGTCTACCAATTGTTTAATTCAAAATGAATTTGCTCTGTAAAGTTTCAACCAAGCTATAATACAAAAAAAATTTAATGATATTCCATAGAAACAAATACCATGGAATGTTTAGGAATAAGTGAGTTGGACTGTACAGACTAACATGATCCCCTTCAATGAATATTTAATTTAAAAAAGAATGCAGGAAATCATATTGCAATTACTTTAAAGGAAAATGACACTTGTATCATTTTTTAATCATATAAAACAACACCATACATTGTCCAAGGACAAAAAGAATGTCTCAATAAAGTTGGATTGGAACAATATTGTGGTGCAGTTAATTATTTAATATGTCTCTTTTAGCATTAGTGTTTGTAACTTCCACTAAATGACTTTTTTTTTTTTTTTTCCTGATGGGTCTAAAGGAGAGA